AGACAGACAGACAGACAGACAGACAGACAGACAGATAGATAATAGAAGATAGAGGAGTGGGGGAAGTTACAGAATATCTTTGGGAGAACTATAAACAAAAACAAAACAAGAAATGTTAGAAAAAAGAACTCAGAAGCATTTATATTAGGAAATGTGCAGTAAAACCTATATGTGCTTTAAGTTGGAAGACTTGAATGAATCACAATTCTACTCTTCTCTCCATCTATCATAATGCAGTTCTGATTGTGAGCTTTTGAAGGAAGTGTGATCGTTCTCTCTTGCAAATGAAAGAAATTTATCTTCACAAAGCATGTTTTCACCAGGATTGGTTAAAATGACCAAATAACTGGGTTTGCACAAAACATTTGGCTTGGTTAGGGTTTGTTTGTTTTGTTTGTTGTTGTTGTTGTTGTTGTTGTTGTTGTTGTTTTTGGTGGTTTAGGTGCTGTGTGAATCAATGCTAGGATGCTTTGGTTCCTTGTGATATATTGTACCACATTTTGCGAAACAAGAACCTGTTTGGTCTAATGACTGAGGTGTTGGAGGAAAAGGGAGTCAACCTCTGGTCCTCCCCTACAGACAGAAGCCAGCTCAATGACACAGGACCAATTACTCCCTCTCAGTTTACCTCAGAATTAGGCTGTGCAAAAAACTGATTCAAAAACAAATCTTCCTTGCGTCATCTTATTGATTAAACTTTTGCTATAAGAATTAGACAAACACTAGGCAGAATAAGCAGATTAATAAACAATTAAGTAAACAAATGCTAAGAAGAAGTGCACTATGTAACCACAACCATTGAATTAAGTAAGACAAATGCTAAGAAGAACTGTATTACACAACCACAACCATTCAACTATGGACTTGGGAGAGACTATAAGGATCATCTATCTCAACCCTTTGCAAGGCACACTAAAACTAATTCAGCTATTCATGAAAGTTGGCTATTTTAAGCTCCTCTTCAAAACCTCCGGAGATGGAAAACCTCCATTGTCAGACTATTTAACTTCGAACAGGTCTTACCATGAGAAACTTTTTCTTGATATTTAAAATA